AGTAGTAAAGTAATTTTTGTACATACATTTGACTTGTATTGAATATATTATTTTAAAACAGGTGGATTGTGTGCTGTCCATTTATTGTTTACATTTATAGCCAACAAGTCACAGACACCCACTGTAGAAGAATCCAAGCCCATATACAAAATTCTGACAATGGCCATTTCCAATGTGAAGTATACCATAAAAATATTCCCTGGAGTGTACTCTAACTTTGCACATTTTAAGACAAAATGTCTTTTAAGAAAACTTGGATAAAATTTTGTTCCATCATGCTTTTTAAATTTCTAGCACTTAAGAAGCTTTTCATAAACAATTCAATAACATCAAAGGATTCTTACATAAAAATGGTTTTCTCATCTATGTTATTGATAGAGTACTTATTATCTGAATAAGCAAAGTTATGTAAAACATCTACATTTGAAGTTCTGAAACATCCTATTGTCATTACCTTGTCATACATGGGTAAATATTCTTTTATTGTAAAAATCAGATAAGAAATGTACTTCAAAGGGTGCATTACAAAATATAGCTGAGGTGTGTTTTTATAAAACTAACTGTTGCCTACAACTTTTGTATTTTTGACATTTAAGGACCATAATTCCTGTATTAAAGTCATCAAATGAACTTTATAAATTTATTTGTCTCTGCTGCAAGTAAAACTATATTTGATCCACTAAAAGAAAATTCTTAACTCATATGAAAGAACATTCAAACTTTAGATTCCCAGCTAGGTTAAGTGTACTTGAACTTGTCCTAGGTGAATGTGACATAATCATCAGTTTAGTTATTTTAAGATTTTAGCAAGGGCTAATGAGTAATAGAGCCTCAGTATTAAAGAGAGCTTGCTCATTCACAACCTGAAGTTACAAATTAACCAACAAAATCACCAAGACTTTTAATTTTATAAAATGTATTTGTCTATTTAAAATGTAAATTAATTTTGTCAGCATATTTTGATTTTTATAAAAATGCTTAGGGATGTGAGATTGATGAAAATTTTACAATAAATTATTTGGTATAGAAAAAATTACAAAACCCTTTTCACCAATTTTGAATTTAATGGTTTGTTTGTAGTTATGCACAAAGTTACACAATGGGCTATCTGTGCTCTGCCCACAACGAGTATCGAAACCCGGTTTCTAGCGTTGTAAGTCCGCAGACATACTGCTGTGCCACTGGGGGGCATTTGATGGTTTAAAGAAGTTATGAAAAATTGTGTGAATACATAGTACAAAATTTTAAAGTCTTTCTATGAGCCCTATATCTTAGTTTTTATAGTGCCTAACCACTAAATAATGAGTGTAGTTTTAAAACACTACAATATGAAATTTTAATTTAATGTCAATATCAGGTCTGCTTCTACCTATGAATATATTCTTGTAGTACATAAAATCAAATTGGTATGTTTATTTAAATATATGCATATAAAAGTATGTTACTGATATAATATGATTTAATTTACTCAAAATATAATGTGTGTGATGGTTTATAATATAGAATATGCACTATAAATAACTATAAGGTACATTGCAAATGCTATAATTAATCCATTTATCATTTTGTTATATTATATAAAATATATGTATTAAAATTTTGTGTATTATCTGAACTTACTGAAATCAAATGTACAAATAATTTCCACCATTTTATAGTGTAGGTCATGATGGCAGTTGAGACAGGAATAAGGTATTGAAGGACAACTTGTAGATAGTTCATGTGGAAGGTGAGGTCCCACTGGTAAATTAGGTTCACAATACTTTAGTTCCTTTTCAATTATTCTTTCATTTCTGAAGTTATAATTTACAAAATAGACAAGATCTGTCACCTGCATGACACCATATTTGTAGCCAACTTTGCTCCAAAGACCTTTCATGCTCAGTAAGATATATAGACCTGAAAGAAATGTATTAATATATTATAATGTAAATAAATTCCAATATGTAAAGTCAAACATATTATGCCACATTACTTAGAAAAACATCATTCTATACAATCAATGAATAAACAATGCTTTCTTAGACCATAATCAGTCTAGGTAGGTGAATGGCAAATACCAGATTCACATTTTTTATTACAAGAAATGTAAGTTATGTTTATCTTTACAAAACTGTTGTGTACCAGTCGCTTCTGGTAACCACAACATAGTTGTAAGTTTATTTAAAAATATATAATTACAGCATAACAACAGACTTTAGTAAATTATCATAAGGTAGTACTATATATATATATATAGAGAGAGAGAGAGATAAAGTATAGAAGCAACAAAATGAGATGATAATTTAAGGTAATGTTTAAAGTTAAAAATAAAAAGAGAGAATGTTCATAAAACATTTGGTAAAGCAATAATAACAATACTAACTGTTACTTGCAAAACATTTGTAGTAGTTTTCATGCCCTTTGCTTGAATTTTCCTTATTCCATCATTTTCGTGCATGCCATTTAAGCTAAGCTTTCTTGCAGGCATCTTAAAATTTTACACAGTCAGACAAACAAACTCACATAGACATAACTTTATTTAATAAAACTACACATAAATTAAACAATAAAGTATAGTAATGATATTTATAATAGTGTACAGAGTATGAAACAGTTATAAGCATTCAGTGAATGACACTTTTGAGAGTTGACACAAAGAAACTTACAAAAATGAATGATAAAACCCATACTAAAAAAAAAAGGTAGCTAAAAGGTGTTTATAGCATCTATAGAACAAACCAAAGCTAAACTATTGCAAAGTAAAGTAAATGTAAATTTTTAATGAAGGAAAACTTAACTCAATATGCATGTTCACAAAGTGTTATATAAGCATATAATTCTGAATGAACTGTGCTAGCATATTTTAGATCTAAATAAGTCAAGAAAGCCCATAGCAATTGTATTTAGTGTGATATTAATTTTTTTTTATGAAATTACAAATGGCAGGCACATTTCATGTTATAGACTGGAGTAATGTTAAATTGATAAATCAGATACAGTTGAAATTTGAATTAAATATTAGCGTAACAATAGAAATCGAAAAAAATGGAGACAATGTGTTGAACAAAGAAGTTTGTCCAGGTTTAGAAGAAATAAAGTACTGGACATATGTTTGATAATTATGGTTCTTTTAAGTTTAGATGGTGCTAAAGGAATGGAAATGATTATGTAGTTATATAAGTCTTAACCAAACTTCAACTTTGACTCCTGAAGATGGTAGTGTAATGTTAGGATCATGAAGGACCGAGTGCATTCAAGACGCCCTCTTTTTTAATATATAAGCCTGGCAAGAAAAACCAACATGATTGGCAGATAGATTGAAGAGATCAAAGAGATAGATAATTGAGTCAAGTGAACAGTAGGCACCATAAGTAAAGTAAATCACTATGATTTATAGCGTGTGTTATAAAGGTTGTTAAGTTTAAAGTGACTGTGGAAATTCTATGTATTACTAAAAGTTGTATCGAGAAAGAATAAACTGGTTTAATCAAGAAACAACTTGTATTGCTGAAGTTCCTCGGAAATAATTTCTACCAGAAATTAACAAACAAGCAAATATGCAACAGTAAGAACACTGAAACATGGAGAATGCTTTTAGGGTTGGTCTCTGTTTTTAATAAATCATTTTAGTATTGTACTCCTACTGATTATGTATATATATATATATTGCACAAGTACCATTTTAAATTATTTACTCATTCTTCTTTTAATTTACTGTTTCTTTATTTATAGTTCTCCTTCAATTTTCAGCCTCTTTATTCTTGATTTTCTTTAAATAAATATAATTTTCTGTTTCTTCATTCTTGTTCTTTTAATTTATGTCTTTTTCTTGAATGCACTTTAATCATTTTATCATCCTTAGCAAAGTTTTGATCTCACATCTTGATCTGATTATCATCCTCAAATTTAGTCAATGTTCTATTTTATTTTCACCAAAATAACCCCACTTCCGAAACCAATGTTGTAATGTATTTTATTGTTGGGTAGGTTCTTTTAGATTAATTGGTAAAACTATTGCCAAATCTATTCTATATAACAAATAAGTATATTTCTTCAACATATATTTGCTGCATCCAAGATTAATTGTAGGCCTAATTTCATAAATATGCTTTTAATAGTAAACTCTGAAACTAATGTAGGCCTAATTTCAAATGCAATGTTTCAACAGAAATTCTAAGACTAACTGTATGTACATCTAACTTACTTAGCTAAGATTTATAAATAAACATGCTAACTCACAGAGTAACTGAATATAAGAACAGACATGACAACTCTCACTATTAACACTGAATAATTGTGTTGACACTGAAATAATTCAATCATCAGTGATTTACAAATATTTATATCATACCTTTGTATCTACATAATACATGAAGCTTCTAAATTCCTAGCTTTCATGAAATTTCTAGATATTAATGTCATGCACCCTCCAGCAAACTAAATTAAAACACTGAAAATATAGCTTACAACAAAAGATTTGGATCAGAAGATTTATCATTTTTAGATAATATTATTTCCATGGATTACTCAAAATACAATTGTTTCCATTTCTAGGAGAGATCATTAGGCTTCATCTAGAACTAAAAGGTTTGAAACTTACTAGTTTTTTATGTAAATATAATAAAAATGGTATTTAGACTGTTGTCTGCAGAGTTTAAACTCACACTTGGTTTTTGTTGGCATTACTTTAAATGGGATTGTGGTTCTCTTCTAAACCTTTAAGTTATGGGCTGAACTTATTGATTAATGTGTAATTAGTAGTAATTTACTTTTTTACTCCTTAGTTCAGTCAGCTAGGATAAGCATGTTGCTAGTTAATACAGAAATTAAACAATGCCTATATAGATACAAAACTTGCTTAAACTCAGAAACTTTGCATCCAGATTTTGGTGAAAACTGTTTCTTTATTCTTAGTTCTAAAGCATAAACTCTGAGACAGACTATTTCAATTCTTTCATTGGCATCATGATAAAATTTCAATTTTCTTGGCAATTTCTGCATGTAGTTGTTTTCAGATTTTTTTAAATATGTTTTCTTCTTAGTTCTAGAAGACAAAATAAGGTTCAGCTTCTAATGCTTAAAATTAGTATAAAGTGTTAGAATCTTGCTCTTATATCATGATTGTAAAGCTTGATCTAAACTAAGTCTTTTTGTGTTCTGTGATGTATCCTATAAGTTTATGCAAGAAGAGCTACTAATAGATTTATTTAAATTTAGTTCATTATACATTCTGCAGTCTTTGCCGAAACATTTATTTAATAAATACACAATGCAGTGCAATGAATACAGAATTTATGTACAGATACCTGGAACTTAACTTTTTGAATACAAAGAAGTTGCTGTTTGTGCTCATTTAGTTCTATTTCCTATGATCTAACTATATTTTTTAATGTATTAAAACCACAAAAACAAGAATGCAAAACATTAAAGAAAACATTTAGCTAAGATGTTTTCTTCAATGAAAACTTGAAAGTTAGTACATATAAAATATTATATCAGAAAAGTCTTACCTTTATTATAACACAGGTAAAAGTACCCATTCCCACTGAAGGGAAAAGTTTAAGCTAATCTATCAATTTAAATTATTTAATGGACTTTAAAAAGGTTACTTATGTTGCAATCTTGGTTTCATTCAGAGCCATAGCTCTGAGTTATTTATACTGCCCACTGCAAAAAGTAACTGTGGAGCACTTCAGTCATACTAAGAGCCGATATCAATAACATACGGTAAATCTACATTTTTAAGTTATGTCACATTTTGAAATGTGAGTGATAGTGTAATTAACTCCTAACAATTTAATGTAGAATACCCTGATTGTGAAATAAAATTTGGCATCAACATTATTCAGTCTGTTTTCCTGTCATTTCAAAAGTGAATGGTAGGCTTTGCATGTGTACGCAGCTTTTCAAATGGGTGACTGACGAACACTCGGACAGATACCACAGTTCGAAATATACATAAGATGTAAAGGGCCATTCTTATATATTTATTGATAAAACTATCATGATATAGGTTTTTGTTGTTTAAGGTGATTAATATGTTTTATTTGACACTGTATAAATGCTGTATCTGTGATGTCACCCTATGATCACAATTTGGTGCTTGTATTATGTCAGTTTCATAAGGTGAAATATACATTTGTGAGTGGTCACAGGTAACATGTTTTCTTGGGGACGTTTTGAAGATGTAAGTGAGATGTTATATATAACACTCACTAGGCAGCAGTACAAGCTATATATACATTACAGAGCGACACTACACTCTTCACTCGTGATCTGATGCATGTTGGTTTTTCTAACTGAAAGATATAAGAATTAAATTTTGTCTTCTTTCAACATTCAAATTTTGTAAACCATTTTTTCTAGAAGAAATACTTTTTGTAGTGCCAGAGAATTACAGAAACATTTAAATAGGGCTGTTTGACCATTTACAGATTTAATAATTTCAAAACTCCTTATACATGGGCGATAATGAATCAATTGCACTCTGTAATTTCGATAGTCAGCAAATTCCTGTAATATAATTATAACAAAATAATATATCGATTATTTTCCTTTATGATCAAGGGATCAATATGTAAACCATTTTTACACTGACACAATGTGATAATTCTCAGAGATTTTTCACTTTTAAGAATGCATGTATTTACTTTATATATAATTTTTATTTTGCAGGTTTGTACTTACCTGTTATTAGTTTAGTATTTTGAGTAGCTATTGGTTACTGTGCTTTAATGCAATCTCTGACAATTAATCTTTCAGTATTTCATCACTTCTCAATGAACTATTATAGATGAAATAAAATGTATTTACTCATTGATGTGTGATATGTACGTTTTTATTGATAAACAGAAAAAAAACAAAGGTATTTTTTAAATTTAAGATAAGTTTCAATTAAGTCTTGGAAAGGTTAAGCTATGATGTCACAATGGAAGGTAGTTGTGATGTTTCTAAGTCTTCACTTCAGATGTGTCTGTGACGTTACAGTAAAACGTATAAAGGAGGTAACTTGTGACGTATTGGAGAAGTCACATTCTTTGGTGGGAATAGATGCTAAGTCTAGACAAAGAATTTTAAAGCTTTAATTCACATCTCTGAAAATTTGTTTTGGTTTGTTTTGAAATTTGTGCTAAGCTACATGGAGGCTATATTGCTAGCCATCCCTAGTTTAGAAGTGATAGACTGAAGTGAAGGTAGCTAATCAACACTACCCATCACCAACAGTTGGGTTACTCTTTTATCAATGAATGGTGGAATAAACTGCCATATTGTAATACCCCCACAGCTAAAAAAAAGTGAACACCCTAACCACTAAGTCATGCCAAGTCCTGAAACATGACTAAAAATTGTTATCTTTGTTGTAGATTTTAGGCACTGATTATGTCTTCCCACATTCTTCTAAAACTTTTTCATAATATTTTTATAAAACTGAGAACTTTTATCTCTGTTTTGACTAGAAAATTGCCACACACTGTTTAACTGTTTTTACGATTATTGATGTACAATATAAATAATTATTTTACTAAAGTTATACAAAATCCAATTTGTTTTTAACTTGAAATCAGAAGGTTTCAGTTAATATATATAATAAGTTTTAAACCCATATATTATTTTCATTTATATCAGTGGTGTGCAATCTGGGCATGTAAGTCATTCATAGCATAACCAATCAGAAAACTAAATATGTGGCAATAACATTATCTCTGGTCGTTTGTTAATTACTCGTAAAAATTCTTTCCGAAGAACTTCAGCGATACAAGTCCTTTCTCAAATAAAACTAATTTATTCTTTCTCAATTCAACTTTGCAATACACTTAATTTCCACAGTCACCTTAACTTAAACACACGCTATAATTTACGATGAACGATTCACGCACTTTACTTACTACCGTGCTTGACTCAATTGTCCGTCTATATCTTTAATCTCTCTGTCTGCTATGCAATTCCGATTAATTGCCTGGCGCACTTATATACAAGAACAGAGGGGGCCTAGCAAATACTGAATTATTTGTGATGTTCCCCGATCTTTCTAGAAGTCATTACGTTTTACCAGCGTCACGTGACTTCTGCTGTCATAACAATACATTATAATATATCTTCTTATATTAATTTATATATATATATATATTTTTTTTTTCTACTGTGTGTACATTGTGTTGCAACCACAGTGGTAGTCTCAACTTGTACTACATGAGCTCTGCATGCTAACCATGAATAATACAGCTCAAGTTATGTTGCATTAAAATAACATGATAAATATGCTTGTACAGAAGTTCAAGATGAATGATACCAATGCTACATGCTCTGCTTGATTCAGTGATGCTGTTATAGTAGAATTATCACTAGTTGGATTTCATCTACAAATAGGATGAGTGTATGTGTAGTTTTTTTAGGTATGTTACACAAATAGGTTCTCACTACATGACTAGCTTGAAAACCCTCTGCATGTCACTGATTTATATATATATATATATATTTAATATTTCTTTTTAGCGATTTTCATTTCCCCCAACCATTCAAGGAGCTACTTAGACTGATGAGGCCTAATGCAAACATGGAATAACACAGTGGCCTTGATGGTGAAAGGAAAGTTAATATGGTTGAATGCAAAATGATTTAGCTATATATGCCTGCTCCACCTTTATCCACAAAAACAACACTTATTTTATTATCATATACTGCAACATCATATTTTGTGTAGCAACATACCACTAAGCTAAACTTTGATCACTTTATTATGACCTCTATGCAAATCTGTGGTGAATTTGAAGTAAAATTAGCTTCTACAGTTGTAAAGATCAGAAAAACAGATTTCTTTGCATGTTTAAATCACTAGCTTATGACTTCGCATAGCTGAGATATAGGGAATTGCATCATACAATAAAAGCAATGGTTGTCTGAAATTGATAAAATATCACCTACATTGTCATCACACGTTCAGATTATAGCTATTTTGTTTTAAAGTGTTTATGCTTTTCCACTAGGTGCTACAAATGTCATATTATTATCAGTCCAACATAAAATTTCACAAAATTTTTAAATATGCAATTAATTAAATGAACCTTTTTTAACTAAATAAATTTTAACTGATGTATTTAGTTTTTTTGTAATGTGTGAAAGAATGACAAGTTATTTTTCATAATTTTTAATTTAATGGTGCAATTTTACCTTTAAGGCTCTAGCATACAAATTCTTAAGAAATTGTAGATTTTAACCACTGATTTTTATGTATTCCTACATTCTTCTGAAACTTTCCTATAACTGTATTTTATAAATTTAGCAAAATATCACTAAACTAACCTTTGATCAGTTTAATACGAATCCCAAGCAATTATTTTTCATATATATAAGTAAATAATATATGTTTAACGATTCATCCACTAAAACTTACCAGCTTTCAGTTTGTCACAGTAGCAGCCTTTTTTCACACTGTAAATAATCTCAGATGCAAAGTCATACTTGTTACCTTTGTAGAATTCGACAATTACAAACTCACCACAGGAATATTCATATCCTATAAAAAACAGTTTTATAATAAGTGAAGTATAAAACAACTAATTTGAAAGAAGTTAATTTGTTTAAAAGCATTACAAGTTGACTAAGCATTCATGTCATGACCTTTTACAAGGTTAGATTCAAAATATAATTAAGCAACTTTATTACTGTCAGGATTTAAAATATATAATTCTTTTTTGCCAGTTGTCAAAATAAAAGGCTTTTACTTATACTTCTTAATAGTATAAATATATATTGTGTTGTTATTGGCTCAGGATTCTTCTACAGTAGGTGTCTGTGACTTTTTGACAATAAATTCAATGATAAATGAACAGCACGCACTTCACTTGTTTTCAAAATAATATATATATACATTTTCGGAACAAGCTAAACATATGTACAAATTCTTCACACTATAGAGATTATAGGCATATCATAAACACTAACATACATATATACAGTTCTCTTCTTGTTGTCAAAGGTTCACTTAGGCCTATTCAATCACTTTAGAATTTCAGTTGACAAGTCAAACTATCTTCTCTATATTACTATCATATCAGTATTCTGTGTGCTTCACTTATATTTATGGTGCAAGTTACTGTAATTCATTTGGTCTTCTTTCTTCTGAATATCCTCTGTTCCTGTTGTCAAAGTGCACTCTGGCTGATTCGATTACTTTAGAACTACGCTTTGACAGAATAAATTATTCATCTTATCTCCTTTTCTACTGTTAGTCTTACTCTAACATACTAAACATTAGGCCTATCACTTCTACAGTAGTTAACATCATGCCTAACTTTTCCTTGCCCATAACTTTTCAATATATACAAAGACTGCCCTTAGTTCATTCACATAGTCTGTATATACAGTCTACACTAATATTCACAGTTCTTTTGTCTGTCTCTCCTTATGTAGGGTCTGCAGTAGAGCTTCTGTTTAACAGGATCCCTCGTCTTCAGCTTGATCTTGTGTTGTCTGAGGTCCATATTTCCTAATCTATCTGTATGCTGACACAGTAGATTTTGTTCCTCTTCCTATCAGTCAGTTTGACACTCATGTTGCCTTTCTTGTATGTCTCATCTCTACTCAGTGTCCTTAGGCTTAGTAGGTCCTTATCTTCAATAATGAAATCACTGTCTTTGAATTCTGGTTCTATGATAGCCACACTGTCATGTCCATTTGTACATCAATAGCTACACCCTCAAGGTCTTCTTCTCTCCCAAAATGCTTCAACAGATTGGCATGGTATATCTTGGTCTTCCCATTCACATTCACCTTGTAATCCATTCTGTTGAGTACTTCCTGTACTTCAAAAGGTTCTTTCAATTGAAGGGTGAGTTTGTTGTGGTCTGTGGGCAGCAGTCTGTAAATGTTGATCCTTGGTCTTCTAGTCATAGAAATGCTTCTGACTACCTTGAACTGCATTCAAACTCTGTCGAGCGAGTTGACAGGTCTCCTCCAGTCAGTTTCTGAGGTTTAACACATACTATAGTATGTGTTCCTTACTTCTGACTCTTCTTCTCCCATCCATAGCTCTTTCAATATGTGCATCAGACCATGTACCATTCTTCCATAGAGTAACTCAAAGGGTGAAAATCCTATACTTGCTTGTGGGACTTCTCAATAAGCAAATAACTGCCTGCAAGTACCTGTCTCAGTCATGTGGTCTCTCTTGGCACATTTTCTTTAGTATGCTCTTTAAAACTTCATTGAGTCTCTCACAAAATCCATTACATTTAGGATTTTATAGGGTGGTAAAGAGTTGCCGAATACTGATGTGTTTGCACACTATCTGTATAAGTTCTGAAGTAAACTGGGTCCGCCTGTCACTCAGGATTTCTCTCAGAAAGTCTACTCTTCAACATATCTCCAGAAGGGCTTCTGCTACTATATTTGTCTCTATCTTCGCCAGTACTATTGCTTCTGGATAACATATCACATAATCGACTACTGTCAGCACATACCAGTTGCCTTTGTCAGACACAGGTGCGATTGGCCCGATCAAGTCCACAGTTACTCTGCTGAATGGCTCTTCTATGAGAGGCATCTCCTTCAATGGCACTTTAGCTACCTTTCCTCTAGGTATTGTCCTTTGGCAGATGTCAGATGACCTGCAGAATCTACTCACATCTCTGAGGAGTCCTGGCCAATGGAAGTTACTGGTGATTCTGTCTGCTGTTTTCTTTGTTCCTAGGTATCCTCCCACTATTGTTTCATGAACCAACTTCACCACTTGATTCTGGTATTTTGTTGGTACTATGATCTGTTTAACTTCCCCAGTATAACTACCTTGATAGATTCGGTATAGAACTTCCTTCTGGTCCTCTATTCTATAAGTATCTTACCTCTTTGTTTTGTGCTTAACTTTCTCCCGGGCATTGTCCCAAAGTGTCTGCAGTGAAGGGTCTTTCTTCTGTGCTTCCTTCAGTTCCTGCAAACCTAAATTCGGGATGTCTCCTTTGATACATGCAGTGGCTTGATGTCTTGTTTGCTCTTCGTTTCTTGAGCTCTGGTGGTGACAGCAGATGCTTCATCAATCTTCTTTCTGTCTAGTTCCTCCAAATTTCTACTACCTGGTATATTTCCTATCATCAAGTCCTGTATTGGTTCCTTGATACACATGACCTCAAGGTATCCTACATAATATGGAGTATCCACCTTTATTTCTGCTATGGGAAACTTTCTCACTGTCCCATCAATTATCACACACAGGTGTACCTTGCCTATCATCTGATCATCGTATAATAGACTAATTCTCACTGCTACAATACTGCGCCCATTGTCTCGTAGAATCTTCACTTTCTTGTCCCTAACATAGCCTTCACACATTGACATATTATGATTTGTTGGCACCTCTTGATATTTGTCACATGCTCCCATCACTATTAGCACTATTGATCCATTTGCTAACTTGAGCAAACCATTAGTCCTGCACTGATCGATCATGTTTTCTTGTATTGAATGTGACAAGTAGTCTAGATTCTCTTTCTTCTGGGAGCAGCATCCATAGTGACAATCACTCTTTTCTTGTTTCTTACAAGCACAGTCTTTGTAAATAGCTCCAACTGCTTTATGTTGAGGTTTCTGCTGTTGTTTATAACATACATAGCATCTTTCTCCTTTGTGTCTATTAATCTCCTGTCACCTTTGGTAAATTCCTGCTTGTGATCAGCCATTACTGGTTTCAAATTTAACTGGACATTCTTGGACTTCCCAGTTATGCTACTTCCATGGGCTTCCATATACTGTTCTGCCAGTTTGATCATCTCGTCTACATCTTCTAATGCTCTCTCCTTTAGGAACAGTAACATGTTAGTTGAACACGTGGTCATAAACTGTTCACATACTAATAAGTCTGCCAGCCCCTAGAGACTATTTTCATACATGGCCACATCAGTCCATCTGGTGAAATATTGCTGCAGACGTGTCACAAACTGAAATATAGTTTCTCCAGTATCAGGTTTGACTCCTCTGAACTTCTGAGGAAAACCTTCTTCTGTAAGTTCATATTGTTGCGTCATCGAGGTCACGTGACTGGTGTGGCGCCCTCTAGTTTCTAGAACTATCTTGTTCCTTCAGGAATGCTCTAGTATTTACTAGATAGAGTTGGCTGGTATATATAAGAGGGGGACAACGTGACGTGGTAATGTGTGTATAGACAGTGAGTAATTGAACTGCAGTCAGAGAGCACAGAGACGTTACAGCGTTTGTTTAGCGCGATTGTTGAAGTTGAGTGTATCTGTAAAGTTATATTCGGAAAGAATAAACCAGTTTTATTAAGAAAGGACTTGTGTCGCTTAAGTTTCGTCGGAACGAAGTTACGGAAAATCAATTAACAAACGTGCTTCTCGTTTCCATCTTCTCTTTTTCTTCTTCTTTTTTTTATCCCACTTCTGACACCAATTTGTTACGTCTAGCAAATCAAACTACAGTTTAGCAGATTTGATGGCAGCAATACAAGAACAGCAAAAGAAACAGGAAGAGAGACAACAGCAGTTGCAAGAAAACCTGCAACAATGGCAGCTCGAACAACAAAATAAACAAGAAAAGAAACAAGAAGAACGAGAAAATGAACGAGAAAAGAAACAAGAAGAGAGATTACAGCAGTTGTTAGAGGAAAAAGAAAAGAAACAAGAAGAACGAGAAATGAAACAACAAGAGAAATTACAGCAGTTGTTGGAGGAAAAAGAAAAGAAACAAGAAGAAAGATTACAGCAGTGGCAAGAAAACCTGCAACAATGGCAGCTCGAACAGCAAAATAAACAAGAAGAGAGATTACAACAGTTGTTGGAGGAAAAAGAAAATAAACAAGAAGAACGAGAAAAGAAACAAGAAGAGAGATTACAGCAGTGGCAACTGGAATAAGAAAGGAAACAGGAAGAAAGTCTCCAACAGTTGCGGGAAAGTCAGCAGCAACTACAGGAAAATCAACAACAATGGCAAGAGGTACAAATGGAAAGCATCAGTAAATTTAAAAGCGAATTAGATACGTTAAAGAACGATTTATTGTCTGTTACACAAGGAGGATACATTGACCATCGACTTAATCAGCCCCAGACAATGGCAAGCCCCTTACAGAGCCCGCAGTTAAACCCTAATGCAGACATATTCAGTCCCATTAGAAGTCACATCCCAGATATGAATATCAATAATAGGAGTGATCCAGTGCGAAGGAAGCCACAAGAATTCGATGGGAAGGCACCGTGGGAAGCATATAGAGCACACTTTGAGTTACTGGCAGAGATGAATGGATGGAGAGAGGAGCAGAAATCTGTATATCTGGCAACAAGCTTGAAGGGACAACCACTGAAATACTTGGACAGTTGACAGCAGCCGACAGAC